GAGCTCCAAATGCAAGATTTACAAGAAAGTAGTATTATACGTTCAATTCGATCGTCACGAGTCACAGGTCATCCATTTAGTTGCCACGGCGCGGTTTGGCTTGGCTTTAGTACGGCTTACCAGCCAAGCCGTCCATACGCCGGCTTGAATTCTGTAGCTGGCTGGCTCATGACTTGAGCCATGGCTTTACCTAATAACTTAAAATAGGCTACCTTGGCTTGATCAGATATGATGTGATGATATGTGATAATCATACAGGAATGATTAGAGACCTTGCGCAGAGCAACCGTCGCCAACCGTTGCGCAAGGTCTCTATTAGAGGTGGTTAGCAACGCGGTTTTTTGAGTTTTCGGAGTAAACCGAGCAGTGATCGGTTACATAAATTCTGAGTCCCATAACATGTTCCATCCCCTTCTTCCCTCTCCTCCGTTCTGGTAAATTAGGTTATTGAAGCTCGTAAATATATAATAAAAGACGGAATATGCGGCTACGGAGCTTGAGATGAACAGATGAAAAATGGGAGACAATAGAAGACTGTTTATTTGAAGCGACAAACAAAGAAAAATTGCGTGTCGGATTTCTCCTAAGGCCTTTGCTAACCACCTCTATTAGTATACCCCGATATGGATAGCGATGAGAGCTGTAGCTGTGCTGGCTAAAAGCCGACTGGCTCAATTTCCTACGGCTTAAAAGCCGTTGTTTGCTGGAGCCAGCTATTCAGCTTGACTCGGCTTAATATCGGCTCGGCTCTTTGGCTTAGCCACGCTGCCGCGCCGTGGCAACACTACAGTAATTCACCAGTCATCTGTACATATCTTTTCTGTGAGAGTTTGGGGCAGGTCCGAAGTGTTTGTAGTCTATGTAAATGGACACAGATAAATATATCAAAATGGCAGTGCTAAAACAGTCTATTGTGTTGTAGTAGCTGAGAAGGTATGGTTTTAATGTTCGGCTGGAACCTTAAATTTGCCCTAGGTTGCCTGGAGCTGCCTGGGAAGGAAAGAGAAGCAGCTCAATAGTCTTCAAGCTGGACGGACTCAATGAACATGTCAATATCCACCTTTCAGACGGACATCAAGAAATGGACAATGAATGGTTCAAAAACAGTGTTTTTATGTCATTCAAAACCCGGTAGTATATGGGGGAGGCCAAGAAGTGTCATCCCTTTCTGAAAAATTTCCTGTAAATGACTTGAAGGGACTATTTGATGTAGAGGATAACTATTTATACTGTTATAATGACAGTCTCCCTCAGACAAAGTGCATTCAGACAAAGTGTACAGATCACTAGTTTTTTCAAGATCCAGACATTTCTCAATGATTTATTCACTGTTCCTACGGGTGCTACCCAATTGTCTCAAAACTGTGGACACACCCACTTTCAACATCTGGCTTTTGAATGAACACAAAATGAGGCTTTATTTCCTTGTGCAAAATGCTTGGGAGCCTAAAAACAGATTTGGTGTACATATGACCGGTGAATTACTGTTAATCCATTTTGACCGAAATGTCACAGGTCAGTGGTCACAGACCAAGCTGCCAAATTTTTATACAGAATGGTCACAACTTTCAAAATTACAGAAGTGGCAAATACACCTTTGAGCTTGAGTCAGATATTATCCTGTAATTGGTTAACTTAAAAAAAAAAAAACAAAACAGCATGTGGTACTAAGTACTAGTAGCAGTGCATTCAAATCCTAGAAAATAAGAGACTGGCTGAAATTTGTGGCAGATCACAGGTCACTCACTCAACTGCCGAAATTCTCAAGTCATTCACCTGGTCACAGGTCACACCCCCTGTCTGAATTGAATGAAATGGGACAGTACTGTATCGTTTGGTTCATCACGCATCACGGGCTGATCTGAACACCTGTGGTGTACACCTTTCCATAAAACAAAATCAGTTTTAACATTAAAAATATTTCGGCCTGTGACACCATACTTGGTAGACAAATAAGTAGTTGCATAGGCAATAAACTTTATATAGGTACTACCCGAAATCGGTCAAAAAGGTCAAAAAAATGAACCAAACAGTAAGTCTGTCATACCTTATATTATAGTAGTAATTAGGCCTATGATCAAACAAGTGAACAGTTGGTGTCAATGCATCATGGATTGCACCCACTGAACACTTGATCGAAACGATACAGTAATGATTGAAGGGGGCACTATACACCACATCTTCCTACCCCTCCTGGTATTGAAAATGGCATATAAATTGGTATCATTATTTCGGACTCTTGTAAAACACCTCGTGTCCCCCTACTCTGCTGCGTGACTCGGACGTTGGTCTGATATCTAAACGACAAGATAGTTGGAAACCCACGGTGCACTTTGATGCTGGTGCTGTTGAACCCCCGGCTGTATCCTGATGGGTCCTTGAGCCGGTTAATCCTAATCCCACTGCTATAGAGTCATTACTAAGACAGACTAGACTCGAATGAAGACGGTCTTACCGTTGATGGTTTTTTTTTCGTGGCTCTTGAAGCTTACTGTACCATTTCGATCGATTTGTCAGTAATGCATAACGCGGCACTTCCAAATTGATGAAATGTAACGGGTGTAGTAATGCAGTGGTCTGACAAATTTTTTTTTTGCGCTACACCCTAAATTTCACGGAGATCCGTTCGAAAAAGGTTATTTTTTGCTTTTTTTTGGACGAAAATTTCGACATGTAATGCAATAATCTTCCACCTGATAAAAAATTTTTTTGTCAGGTATGTAACGGTAACGCAGGGTGACGAATCGATTGAAATAGTACAATTTTGTACTGACTGATTCAAATAGTCCATGATGGCGTACCTTGAGCGCTAATTTTGAAATTCTAGGAACAAAATCGAGTTTTCGTTCCTTAGAAAATTTGTTGATTACTTATTAGAGACCTTGCGCTTAGTCGCCAACCGTTGCGCAGATTTGAATTGAAAAATGACGTCATATCCAAATCTGCGCATCGGCTGCGCAACGGTTGGCTCTGCGCAAGGTCTCTAATGTTTGTGGAGACACTTATCCATCCTGCCAAAAGCAATGTATTTTGCAACTTACTTGGGACTACTGCCCTCGGCAAATTGAAAAGATGAGGAGTTGTCAGTACAGGCTCCGACAGACATACCAAAATCGGTCCAAGTGACTTCGAAATTACTAGCGCTTAAGCCTCTCCACAAATAATCATAAGCAAACTTTCTAAGGAACAAAACCTCGATTTTGTTTCTAGAATTTCGAAAGCTGTAATAAGCTCACGGCTTTAATGCGATTCTAATCCGCGGCGTCGGAATGAGTTGCAGTGGAATATTATACATTGACATGCAAGCTGTAAAATCGCCTCGGTATAACTGGGCGAGACTGCTCAACCAGGCATAGAGTAATCAAGAATATATACAGGAGAACATAGGTCTTGAGCGAGAGATTGTAAATCAACAATCACATGTACTTAGGCCCCGCTCGGGAACCCGAGTCGGCCCACTCAGGGAAGTTGGGGTCAGAGAAATGGCTGGATCAATTGCATTGCGCAACCCTGGAAGTTGAAACAACTCAAAATTGCGACTCATCTCCCGCCAAAATTGACTCATAAATGGGTCGACTCGGGTTCCCGAGCAAGGCTTTATAGGTGTGGTCAAGCATGATCACAGTGATTTTGAATGTAGAACTGATAACTGAACTTTGGTACAATAATATACTTGGGCAGTTTGGCAGATCGCGAATTTTTTTGATGAGCTTCTGACCATTCTGAGCTTAATGCTGCTTAGGTTAGCGGTCTAACCTGAATAGGATCAGTCAACTAAATTCACGGTCTTTGCCGAGGGAGGAGGAGTGGCAATCGATATCGTTGAGCGTTCGTCCTTCCGCAGACTAAAATGATGATACCATCGGGAGCTAGCTATAGATCGGTTCTACAGCATTATATTTATCTCTCTTATGATCCCAGTCCGATATAAAGGTTACAAGATTTTATGCTGGAAGTAAACAAATCATCCCCCGAATTTCTGATCATCATGTATTGCGCTGGTACCTTGCAATCATCTATAGCCAAAGGATCTCAGCCTTCACTTGATCATGGTATGGCTGCTGCTGCAAGTGATACCACTAATACTCTATTTTCTTTCACCAACATTCAAAACTTTGGCGCACTTCTCTGTGTCTTCCTCCTACTCTCCATAATTTTCCGCATCTTGTTCCCTTGTGTTACATTAGAAAAACTTGAGGATTGCTTGGACAATGTTCAGGATTTGCTTCATACGGGAGTCAACAATAACTTGGTTAAAAGTTCAAGAGCATACAATACGAGGATAATTGAGTGTGTATTTTACTTTATTTCGACTCCTAGCGCCAAATGTTTACTTTCTCCACTAGATTTCGAAGCAAGATATCTACTCTCTATACAGAGACACTTCGCATGAACCCCGCATTTCAAATCAAATATTTGAAATTCTTAAACAGAAGATTCTGGGCTGTCATCAGACTACACACTCTGGTAATCAAACTCCAGTCTGATATCGAAGTAAGTCTCTGGTTCTTGGTCCGTCTGTTAAAATTCAAACCTTTGAGTTCAATTCTCAGACTGAAATGGAGGAGGAAAAACAGAAGAGATTTCGGATCGAGCTTGAACTCAGTTCCTGAAATCGCGATGTTCAGATTTCATATGCACAGTGGGGATTCGGGTTTTGGATTCCGTGAACAATTTTTTTGGACTCGAAAGACCGTAAGCTTGCATGGAGATCCAATAATGTAAAGTTAGAACATGCACACAAGTTCCAGTTTTTTCAAAGGAAAAATCATTGTGACAATTTGGAAATGTTAGATTAGATGGGACAGGTTACACAGTAAATAGTAGAAGTGGAGCCAGCATCTCTATCTACTCACTCTCTTCTACCTAGGAAAGTTTACATGAAATTTGAACCAAGTACCATTAATGCTGATCTGATATTGAAGGGGAATAGACAACGAGCCTATTCCTGTTGATCCATAAAGTGAAGCACTTGTATAAGAAACAGGTTGACTCCGTTAGGACGGGTAGCATAACTGGTAAATGCGCTGCATTTTCAATTGAAATATTTGTATTAGCATGAGAAGCGTGGTTCGAGTCCCGCTCTGTCCCTTGATGCCCTGTTTGGTTATTTTACTATTTTTAGACAATCGATCGAGCGTAATACACGTGGTAGCGTGTCATGAGCTCGAGTGTCGATCACTCGGATGGGTTGTCCCCTACGAGTGGCCCCGCTCCTGATCCAGAGAAGCATGTCCGAGAGTATCATGAATGATACCTTTAAGTTTTCACGTTGAATGTGCTGGATCAGTGTCCTGTAACGTTTTTGGTTCATCCAGTGTATAGGGAATATCATCTTGCTTTCCATTTACTCAAATGGGGCGACATTGGTCAGGCATGTAAGTACATAAGATACAAACCTTTTTGAGCTTGGTAAAAATTCTTTGGACCGCGGAACCATTTTTGATGAAGTGCGCAATTAGTTTGCGTCTAGTGGAGACGGGTATGCATAGATCAGAACCATGTCGTAGGTTGCGACTCGTGTTAACGATAGTATGTGAGCTCCAAGTGCAAGATTTACAAGAAAGTAGTAGCACTAATTGAAATGCAGAACTCGACCACTGCCGTAGAGCTATTACTAGAATAGACTAGCCTACTCGAATGAAGATGGTACCCGTTGATGGTTTGTTTTCGTGGTTCTCGACCAAGCTTATTCTGTACTAGCTGCAAATAGTCCATGATGGCGTACCTTGAGCGCTATCAATGAGCTCACGGCTTTAAGGCCAATGTGGTTCTAATATGTAGTACCGGAATGAGTTGGAATATTATAAATTGACATGCAAGCTGTAAAATCACCTCGGCATACCTAGACAAGACTGCCCAACCAGGTATCAATCATAAAGAACTTAAGAGAATACAGGAGAACATAGGTCTTCAAGTCTCAAGCGTGAGATTGTAAATCAATAATCGCATGTACAGGGGTACAGGCCTGCGGTCACTGAGCAATGATCAAAGTGATTTTGAACGTGGCTAATTTTTTTGATGCGCTTCTAACCGTTCTGGGCCTGGGTTATGAGCTTAGATTACCCACTAAACTGAATAAGGTTAGTGCTAAAATTGCCACTGAAGGTCAATCTTGAACACATTCAATAATGCCGAGGGCTAGCTATAAATCAGTTCTACAGCATTATTTTTATCTCTCTTATAATCCCAGTCTGATATAAAGGCTACAAGATGTTATTATTCTGAAAGTAAACAAATCATTCCCTGAATTTCTGATCATCATGTACTGCACTGGTACCTTGCAATCATCTCTACCCAAAGGATCTCAGCCTTTACTTGATCTTGGTATGACTGCTGCTGCAAGTGATACCACCAATACTTTTTTTCTTTCACCAACATTCAAAACTTTGGCGCACTGCTCTGTGTCTTTCTCCTACTCTCCATAATTTTCCGCATCTTGTTTCCATGTGTCACACTAGAAAAACTTGAAGATTGCTTGGACAATGTTCAGGATTTGCTTCGTATGGGAGTCAACAATAACTTGGTTAAAAGTTCAAGGACATACAATACGAGGATAATCGAGTATGCATCTACTTTTTTTTTGATTCCTAGAGCCAAATTTTTACTTTGTCCACTAGATTTCGAAGCAAGATATCTACTCTCCAGACAGAGACACTTCGTATTCACCCCACATTTCGATTCAAATATTTGAAATTCTTAAACAGAAGATTCTGGGCTGTTGTCAGGCTACACACTCTGGTAATCAAACTCCAGTCCGATATCAAAGTAAGTCTCTGGTTCTTGGTCCATCTGTTAAGATTCAAATCTTTGAGTTTGATTCCCAGACTGAAATGGAGGAGGAGAAACAGAAGAGATTTCGGATCGAGCTTGAACTCAGCTCTTGAAATTGCGATGTTCAGATTTCATATGCACAGTGGGGATTTGGGATTTGAATTCCATGAACACTCGAAAGATTGTAAGCTTGCATGAAGATCTAGTAATGTAAAGTGTTTAGAACACGCATACAAGTTCCAGTTTTTTCAAAGGAAAAATCAATGTGACAATCTGGAATTGTTAGTCTATTAGATGGGACAGGATGTATCAGTCCATTTGTGCTATTGTTCTTTTTTTTTTTTATGGACTGACTTGGTCTGCTTCCTCGGGCTGTCTTGGATCGCGGGGTCGGGACCCGCGTGTTGAGAGAAAAGCTTCTCCTGGGGAAATGTCTTTGCATACCTGTATTTCAAGGTTATGTGAGACTCGAGGAAATATGTCATGTTTTGTTCATCTGTTCCGTCCTGGAGGGCGGGTCTCCTTACCCACTAAAACCCCGGGTGTGGTAATCCATTTTTCTGGTAAGCCTGCTTCGAATTCGTCCGATTTCGCGAGTACTTCCTCCTATGTATCAGTTACAGTTAGATTTGGAGAGGCCTTGGCTTCAAATTTATATTTATTTGTGAGGGTGCATATGCGCAGTCTAGTTGCATTCTCGCGTTGATGCGATAGTAGAAGCGGTTCTCTATTTCCGCTCCCGTATGGATCTTATTGGGATCATTCTCTGTGCTATTGTTCTTACTAGGATAAATAAAGTTTACCCTAAGTGACACTTCTTGCCCTGGTGGCTGGCGCCGAAAACAGATAACAAATGCCAAGTTTACCCTAAGTGACTTTTTGAAAAGATTCCTTTTTGGATCAAGATTCAAATCAATTATCAGAACCTGTGTTTTTCTTTAACACTGAGACTGCTTGGTACTGAGGGCTATGAATTTGTGAGTTCCATAGCGGTTTCTCACTTTCTGATATTGATTGACAGATTGTACATCAAGATTTCATGGGGATCCAGTAATGTAAAGTGCTTAGAACATGCATACAAGTTTCAGTTTTTTCAAAGGAAAAATCATTGTGACAATTTGGAAATGTTAGATTAGATGGGACAGGATGTTACACAGTATATACTTGGTAGAAGTGGAGCCAGCATCTCTATCTACTCACTCTCTTCTACTTACAAAAGTTTTCATGAAATTTGAACCAAGTACCATTAATGCTGAGTGCATCTGATATTGAATAGGCCCAGTAATAGACAACGAGCCTGTTGGTCCATAAAGTGAAGCACTTGTATAAGAAACACATCGTTTTACATTAGGACGGGTAGCATAACTGGTAAATGCGCTGCACTCTCAACGACTTGAACTAGCATGAGATGCGTGGTTCGAGTCCCGCTCTGTCCCCTGCTCTCGACGCCACTCCTGGCTATTTTTTTTAAGAGTGTCAGACTAATCGATCGGCA